TTGCCTGTTTGGTTGATATGTAATACCCTACAGAGGATGTTGTGTTGCTGTAATTATTCTGAAGACATTGTTTCTCTGTATTGAGGTCCAGTGTCCAAATATGTTTCTTGCACTCTAAAGTACATTAACTTTTTCATTCTAATTTAATAAATGTACCATCTGAATGAAAGTGTATTATGTCTCTGTTGGAGAGCACCACAGTGTGAGTCTTTGACTGATCTAAAATTCAGGTATTGGTTACTGTCTTCTATTTAGTGTTGAACATTGGTTGGCAAATTACACTGCTTCTTAATGGGAACAGTAACAGTAAATGCTCAAAAGTACTTTGAGAATTCCTCTACAGGTAGGTAACTCTTTCTGACTCTTCTGGGGCTGCTTTCTCAAGGAAATATGGTGGTTTTGCAGGTCTGGAGGACAGAAGAAGGCAGTAGTGATGCTGCTACTGCTATTGTTTGAAGGGACAGCATTGGAAGCAGGGGAGGAGGGAGGAACAGCACATGGGTATGGAGGGAATGCTGCAGTGTGAAGGATTGAGGACTCTGGATGGGAGTGGTGTCCAAGTGAAGAGTTATGAAATGGACCATGTGTGCTATTCCAGCTACAAAAAGAGCTGGCTTTATCTGCTAATATATGATAAATGAATTTGAAAGATTTGGTTTGCATAGCATCACTTTCTAGTACTGTGATGGTAAAGGTATCTGGGGCCCTCTCTGACCTAACAGCATCACCATGTGCAGTGATGATTATTAACCAGTCTGAAGCATTACTGTTATCAAGCTAACATTTTGGGATTTACTGTCCATTCACAGTGTGCTTTTTCTCCTAATCAAGAGTTTTGGTTTTTCTAACAAATGATAGTTGAGAGGAATCTTTCACAGCTGGTTTTTCTTTTATTTATTTCCTTAAAGTATTGAGTACCTACTGTGAAATAAAACTATGTTAAAATTGTGCTTTTTTCTAGCCCTTGAATATCAGTTTCTATCCCAACTTACCTTCAAAGGTTACAGTTTGCTTTCACATTTCTCCATTTTGCTGTGAGAGATAGGACGAGTGAAAATTAGTTTACTTTAAACAAAATGTTGGTGTTCTTGTGGCTGCTGAAGCATCTATTTAGCATTTTGTAGTTTTATTCGCTTTTTCATTTCAGTGTTAATCAGTGATGATGTGTGGGGTATAAAGAGAAATCAGTATATTTTGAATTATTAAAACATTTCAGAACATCAGGGTGAGCAAGGCCTCTAGGAGAAATGCACATATGTGTTTTCACAGAATAAGAAGGAGAAATGAAAACCTTATATTAGCAATCTTCTTTGCAGTTTTGAGTTGTAGCCTACTGAAGACTTGAGCTTTCTCTTCTAGATCCTCGGAAGCTTAGTCAGAAAACCAAGTTAATCAATTTTTATGCAGCAGTATATTTTAGAAGTATTTTCTTTACTATCTTGCCAAAAAGCATAATTAATTTTGTAAGATATACTTGGGTTATACTATAACTTTTGAAGGAAAATTTGCATATAAACCAGAAAAATGAGTTTATGGAAAGCAGGTAGATTGAAAATTATCTGAGCTACATATGCATTTCCATGGATGAGAGAATTATAAAAGTACTACTGTTTGAAGTGTTCAAAGAGTTCACTTAGAACATGTTTTATAAAACATCTCAGTGTATGAAAAATAGACCATTTTTGTAAGTTTTAATATATTTACCATTGAAAGAGAATGAAGGATGATTCAATTTATTTTAAAATTATCTCAAATTATAAAATAACTCCAGTGAATTACACTTTCCGTGTCTCTGGGGTCCATGTTTCTCTATGGATTACCAGGAACTTAACACTCACAGGACAATGTTGTTCTGGTTTAAATTTGTTACCTCTGTAATAGTTATCAGTTTAATGTGGAGTATTAACTTGATTTAAAATGCTTAAAGCTATTTGCAAAATTATTCTTTAAGTATTTATAAAAGAGTATGTAATGGGGGTAATGGTTACAAATTCCAGCCTGGTATGGCCAGGACACTCCTCTGTGACTACCCTACCTTCCCAGGTGCCCTTGTTTAATAGGTACAAGGCTCTGCAAGTGGAAACCGAATGATGAGGAAGATGGTTCATCTCTATAGGAAGACTCACTAAGGTGAAGTTTCCCTATGCACTGTGTTGAAATTGCTTCCAGAAAGAAAGATAAGGTATTGGCATAGTTCCAGTGAGGGGAACAGAAGGTCCAATTTCCTGGCAAGCCCCACTTCATAGGGAAGTCATCTGCTTCCCTGGGGGCTGGGTTACCGATAACATGAGGAAACTTTCAGCTCTGGTACAGCCCTTGGATTATTACCCCTTATTCCTTTCTCATGTAGGCAATTACGAAGTTTGCAATATGAAGGCCAAGGACAATCAGAAGAGGTTTCGGGGTCTTGGGACACGTGGTTACTATGGGATCAGGAGCATGAGTAGTGTTCTCCTTTATCCTTCCAGTTGCAGGGAATGGTGAGGGAGGAAACAAGAACCAGCAGATCGATACTTGGTGGCAACAGCTGGGCACACCTGTCTCAGACAGAGAGAAGGATCTTTGCACGAGGGTGCCGTGCTCGCTGAAAGAGCATTAAAGTGGATTGAAGGGGAAAAGGGCTAAACTCAGGCTTGCTAGACATAAACCTGGTGGCCGCACAGCAGTGTTGGACCAATGGAGTGGTAGCAAGATCCTTCACAGTGCTCTGTGATGTGTGAGTATGCTGGAGCACGTTTGAAATACATACAGTACATGCAGCATGAGGAACAAACTAAAGGAGTTGGAAGTGAGCAAATAAGGAGTTTTTTCATCTTTGTACCTCTTATGCCAGTGGGAAGAGCTATTTGGACAGGGGTGAGGGAATTTTACCTAGTTCCGGAAGAGGGCTGTATTCCCAAAGATGGCTAGAGAATATACCCCTCTGAGTCAGAAAACTTCCTGATGCCATTCATTGGACTCTGTCATTTAGGTAATGAAGATGGATATTGAACAGTCACCAGAACTGAAAAGTACTGAAAGTTTTATTGATCCAATAAAACAGCTTTGTCTCTGTTTTTGAGATGTGTTAGGACTATTATGTCTATAAAAAGGATATGCAATAATGCTTTCACTAGGATCAAGAAGGGCAATGTAGCTGCAATGTTTTCTTGCTTTATTTTTTAGACTCCTTAATTCTTTTTTACCTCAAATACAGTTTTGTGGTAAAGCATGTGCTTGCATATTTCTGTAAGTTACATGTGGTATTTTGCAGTTACCTGTTTTTACTCTTCAATACTGTAACATTAAAAAAAAAAACCCAAACACTGCAATTTAATTGACCTTTTTTTTAATTATTTTTACAAGTAAGACATGAAAAAAGAATGTTAAAGTAGGAGCACAAGTTATTTTTGGGAAGACATGATTCCAGCTTCTCTACGGTCTCTGCTTTCTTTTTCCAGTGATCATATCCTTAGCTGAGTTGCCATTGGGAACCAAGTGATACAGCCTGTTGCAGTTGGGAGCCATATTTTCTAGATTGTTGGAATTGGGAGTCAGGTGCTGCAGTGGTTTCTGAAGAGCAAGCATTCACACACTGGCAGCTTTCCACGTAGAGATAGGTATAATTTATGCTGGTTCCATTTTGGCAAGTGAGGGTCACCTCTCTCATTTGGGTGCTGAGTTCCTGGCAGCAACCACACTTGTGTTCCATCTGGTTTGCTTCAAGAGAGTACCTGTGTTCCACCGGGTGAAAAAAATGCATCTTGTTAAAAAGGCACAGAAAACCCCCTATGTGATTTTTGTTTTGCGAGTGTTTGGTTTGGTTTTGGGGTTTTTTTTTAACATCCTCTTTTCTTCCTTATCATGCACACTTATGATTTTCATTGTCTTCAATAATTAAACTGTTCTTGCTTCCATTGAATCCAATTCAGTTCAGTGGAATCATAAAAACATATTAACTTTGTTGCTGTTCTGCAGAATCGTGTAGGTTGGAACAGACCTTTCAGATCATCAAGTCTAAGCATTAACCCAGCACTACCCAGTCCACCACTAAACTGTGTCTTTAAGTGCCACACCTGCATGTCTTTCACATACTTGAAGGGATGGTGACTGAACTGCTTCCCTGGGCAACCTGTTCCAATGCATGACAACCATTTTGGTGAAGAAATATTTCCTAATATCCAATCTAAACCCTGGTACAACTTGAAGCCATTTTGTCTCATCCTTTCACTTATTACCTGGGAGAAGAGATCAACCCCACCTCACTACACCCTCCTTTCAGGCAGTTGTAGAGAGTGTGAATATTTCCCCCGAGCCTCCTTTTCTACAGGTAGAACACCTCCAATTCCCTCAGCTGCTCTTCAAGACTTATGCTCCAGACCCTTCCCCAGCTCTGTTGCCCTTCTCTGGACATGCTTCAGCACCTGCATGACTTTCCTTCAGTGAGAGGCCCAGAACTGGACTCAGGACTCAAGGTATGGCCTCATTATGGCTGAGTACATTGTCCTGGTCCTACTGGCCACACTATTGCTGATCCAGGCTGGGATGTTCTTGGTCGTCTTGGCCACCTGGGCCCACACTGGCTCATGTCCAGTTGCACCCCCAGGTCTTTTTCTACTGGGCACCTTCCCAGCCCCTCTGCCCCAGCCTGTAGCACTGTTTGGGGTTGTTGTGACCCAAGGGCAGGACACAGCACTGAGCCTCACTGAACCTCAAACAATTATTGATAAAGACATGCAACAGGACTGGCTGACACTGAGCCCCAGGAAACACCGCTGGTGACCATCCCCCAGCTGGAGGTAACCACTCAACACCACCCTCTGGGTCTGGCCATCCAGGCAGTGAACAGTTTTTTATGCAGTAAACAGTTCACCTGTCCAAGCTATGAGTTCCCAGCTTCTCCAGGAAAATGCTGTGAGAAGTGCTGTCAAAAACTTTATAAAAGTCTTTGTAGACAATATCCACAGCCTTTTCCTCATCCACTAAGTGGGTCCCCCTGTCCTAGAAGGAGATCAGGTTGGTCACGCAGCAGCTGCCTTCCCATACCCATCTTGGCTGGGCCTGATCTCCTTTTTACCCTGTATGTACTCCGTGATCACACTCAAGATAATTAGTTCCATGTCCTTCCCTGGCACCAAGGTCAGGCTGACAAGCCTGAACCCTGGGACCTTCATGGTTAACCAGATTGCTGACAAATTACTGAAAGTGGCTTTGTGAGCACCTTTTCCAGATCCCTCAGTACCCTTGGGTGATAAATTAACTTGACAGACCAGATAAAGGAAGCCATAGAGATGTTAAATGAATTTTTAGAACTTACATTGAGGAGCCAGGACAAGTTCCTTCACAATATGACAGCTGAACAGGTTCAGAAGACTCGCAGTCAGCATGGCTGATCACAGTTTCTTTGGTGTAAGGCTTGCAGGTTTTAGCTTCATAAAAAAAGGGGAGGAGAGAAAATATACTTCAGTTCTTTAGTTCTGAATTAAAGGAATTGTAAACCAGTTTCAAAGTGGTTGATGTCTGATTACTGAGAATCTGAAGTATGTGATGGGATAGGTACTGTGTAATGTATATGGAGTTGTCAGATTATTCTTTGATTTTTGGCTGTAAAGTGCATTTGGAAGATAATGCAGAGGCCTGAGTATTGCTGGTTTGATTTGTACTGTTCAGTATTAGGAAAAAAAATTTCATTTTTCTTTTGAACAAACATTGAAACACAGGATCTTAAATAGACTATGTGAAAACAGGATGAGTGAAGAATCCTTCCATTCACTCAAAGATAGTTACAGGTTGAGTATAGTGCTCTTCAGGCAGAACACAAACACAGCATTACTTACGTTTACATATTTTGCAGCAGCCATCAGATGTAATCTCTGTTTCATCCTTTGTAAAAGAAGAAGGATTTGTATTAGTACAAATAGTACTCACCATAGGAGTTTTCAATACTTGTAGCCTCATAAGAAAATACAACACTTTTCTTATTAATCATAGAGTAAGCCTAGTTTCATTCTAAAGACATTCCTGCAACTTCAGTAAAAGCAATTTGTTGTATTCTTCCTTGTCCCTCCTTGTTCACTTAAACTGAATTGAGTCAACGAAAGACTGAAAAAAACTTACAGGATCACACTCTGCGGGGTCGTACTCAGGGCATACTCTCTTAGTTTGGACTGCAACAAACTGATCTTCAATTTTTTCACATTTGTAGTGGCTGCACTGATCGAGTGGCAGGATCTCGTTAACCTAAGATTTTATAAGAAAAGTAAAAGTTGTTTTTTTTCATTGTGATCAGGTATGTCTGAGCTGATTAAATTCTCACTCCTCAGAGTCTCAGATGCTTCTGAACTTCTTTCAAGTGGCAAAAATGAAGTTCTACAAACTGTAGCTAGCTTGAAAGTTTAAATCCTGGCTCTGAACACTTATACCATAAGTTAGAAACCATTAGCCACAAAAATCAAAAATTTGATTCTAAATAATGTTCAACTCAGAAAGCTGATACATTGTTTTTTCAGAGCAATTTCAGTATTCTATTTTTACCATTAAGGGACATGAGTTGACTCTTAGCTGTTCTACCTTGTATGGCCTAACAGATGTGAAAATGAAAGGAATACTTACATTGAGCACATGAACCGTGTTGTTTCTGAGTTTGACTTTGCAAGCTACTTCAATACATTTCCCACAGCACTCTCCTTCCTCAGTCATGTATTGGTAACCCTACCCAGAAAGGCATGAACGAGAAAGTATGTTGAATTAGTGATGGAGAATTCTAGTCTTGCTGTAGCTGACTGGGCAGCCTAGAGAACCTGAACTCACCAGCGGGCACGATGTCTCACACTGAACTGTTTCACAATGCATAATGTTTGCATTAGTCTCTGGATCCTTCTCAGAACTGCAGGTGCACTTCTTACATGAATCAATTACTACTGACTTTCCAACCTGCAAGACAGAAAAAAAACAAAAAAACATTCAAATGACAACATTTCTATATAATATAAAGGCAGAGTTGAAAGCATTGCTGAGAACCACTAAGGTTGCTGAAACTCAAGTATGAGAGTTCTCAAATTCTCTTTGAATGTAGAGGTTTTTTGGCTTTATGCCTTGCAGGAAAGCTCATATTAAGAGGAAACTAAATGAAGCAATGTAAAAGAGAGCAGCAAATTAATTAAATTAAGATTGGTTTGTACTAATTTTTTTACCAGCTTTTTAATGCTCCATTTAAGAATACTTTTTCCTCTATAAGTTATGTTCAGTGGTTGTAAAACAATTATAATTTAAAATAGGTCTTTACATATGCAGATAGATAAGCAGACATCTAAATTTACAGATGGATTTTAGTCTTTCTAAAATGTATCCCCAAAGACTCCAGTGCTAATATTTAAATTACGAGTTAATGACCTAAGTACCAATTTTAGCAAAAGGGTTTAGGTATCAGTTAAATCAAAAATGTTAACTTTTGGGTTTATTTCAAAGAGCAATTGAGTTTGGGCTATTCATCAAATTGTCTGGTAAAGTCATTAATTACAGAAGTGAGAGGAAGCTTAAAAAGAAAGTACATCACTAAAAATGGTACACTCTTCTACTACTCGATGAGGAAGACTTCTGTGACAAATTTGACTTTGACTTTAAAATACCCAAACAATGTCCCATTAAGGGCTACAGAGAAAAACCCCCAAAAACAGGTACTGGGTAAAGAACTTTCTCAAAGACTTATTTTGGTAGAAAGATGTACCTTTCACTTCCAGCAATATACTGCTATATCATTCTTACCGTGTACAATGTTCCGTTAATCACACAGACATCAGGTATTGGTTCTAAAAAACAAAACAAAAAATAAATTCCAGAATAACTCAAATTGTGAGTCTTCCTGAGAAGTCAAGATGTTATCAGGTTTTGTTAGTAACACAGAGTATGGAAAAGTTGAATTCAATCCCCCTATGCGCTTAGACTTCATATGTAGTGTAGCTGAATGTTTATGTAAAGCTTTATCATTAAAATCAGCTGGAAGAGATGGAGAGAAATGGCTTGAAACACAAGCTATGCCTGAAAAATCCCTTTTCTGCTCTTTCAAGATCTGGTTCAATTCAAATTAAATTAGTTGTTTCCTCTGGGAACCCTCAGCCTCCAAGTGATAAACAAAGATGCTTCAGTTATTGATTCTTTATGACATTTCAATACATGGCTTGTACAGAAGATTGACCCTGTGGAAATACTAAAGGTATTCCTACCTAATGTAAATCTGACAACATGGCAGAACTCATCTATGTCTTTCACAGAACTGCTTTGAACTTGCCTGTTCCTTTGTTTTGACTTTCCTTTTTCAGGCTTAATTTATGGGTACTTTTTTCTTTTTAGTCTATTGCACAAGTATACATACATAAAATATGTGTATATAAAAGTGTATGTTCATAAATTAACTAATATAACTGTAGGATTTTTTTATTTTCATGAGCATCTGGCAAGAGTGTAAGTATAATTATTACTTTTCATACAATGTCAATTCAGTTATTGATTACAATTTACTTTGTACTATTGCTTCCTGTTACTTGGTCTTGTAGTTGACTGTTAAGCTTTTTAGTGTCTTATATTTATGCATCTTAGTTTAGGGGCATTTAGGCTGATGTTAATGTGCTCCAATGTTCCATTAATAACATGAAAAAGATTCATTGATAACATTTATAATTACAGGTACAAAGATAGTTGAACTACATAGACCAGTGAATGTCCAAAATATTATTCTGCTCTCCCACCCATTCTCTCATCAAAGTTAAATGAAAATAACATTATTTTTTTTAAACAAAGCTTCAATGCATATTTAGCCAAAAATCATTGTGTGTTCACTGAGACAGAAAAATTTAAGAAATATTTTGCTGTTATTGTGATACATTAGAACTTCCTTAGGTATTAACAGAAGTGCAAATGTAATTTACTGGAGTGCTATTTATACATGTATTTTTAATACTTACGGCATTCAAATGCAGGACAACATGGGTCTTTTTGTGGTAGTACAGCCATGGAAACAAATCCTAGGTCACAAGTTGTTTGCTGAGCTGTTTGGCATGGGAGTGGCTGGCATTGCACAGTAGCAGTGAGAAAGTCACAGACACACATCTGGCATTCATCTATCCACTCCTCTCCAGGCTGAAAATATGTAAATTATTTATTCTTAAATGCTCCTTCATCCTAGTTGTTTAGTTTTAACCTAAGATATACTCTCAAAATTAGTAGAAAATTCAGATTGGAGTTGTTTTAGCACATCATTTAAGAACAGATATGCTAAGAATAAGCACAGAATTTTCTTCTGCATAAAAAGAATGGTATTTTACATTTCACAGCTAGTCTACTTATGTCTATGAAATTTAAATGACTTTTACTAAAACCAAAAGTCTTTGCCGTGGTCTTAGTGAGCTTTTCCACCAAGAGATTACTTCAAAGTCTGGTAATGCCAGGTTAAATAATTGTGTGCTCTCAGGTCATTTGTTACATGACCAACTTTGTTATTGAGCTACATAGAGGTTGATTTGAATTGGCTGTTAAAGGACAGAAATTGGTCCGGTTTTGCAACAGTGGTGTATTAGAAAGTAGGGAGGGGAACCACCTTTCGTGCAGGATTGACATCAGTGCAGTTTCTTTCTACTGAAGTTGTGGTAGTTGTTGCAGTGGTTGGTGAGGCAGCTTGTGATGTAGTTGAGGGGGCGACTGAAGGAGCAGGAGTTGTCAGAGGACATGGCCCGTAGAAGGGCTCAATCTCACATTCTTTGCTGCAAAGTGCATAAAAATTACAGCCAGCTCTATCTGTTCTGTTGTATACCACTTCCCCTGCAGATGAAAATTGGAAGAGAAATTACAAGAATGAAAACACATAGGGAGAAAAACCAAGAAAATATTGTAAAAATATTAAGTGTATTCATGTATAAAATGTTCTATGTTTAGATGATTTTGAGTTGTTATATTTAATTAAATAGAGTCTTAGGAGTTCATATTGCTTATGAAATTTTTTATAATTGTAAAATCAGACACTTACCAGGAGAAAATAAAGTTTCAAACACATGACAAAAGCATGGAGGTATTTTGCTGGATGTAACAGATGTGCTGGTGGAAGAACTGAAGGTTGCAGGAGTCCTTGTTGTAACAAGACTTGATTGTGATGTACCAGTTGAAGCTGCTGTTGAGTACAAGTAATAATTTACTTTGCAGGTACAGAATTTTGATTGAATAATTTTAACATCTTCAAGAAGTCTATTCAACATTCTGGCAAACCAAGTGAACATTGAATATTTGCATTCAAATATTTGACCTATTCATAAGTGGAGATTATGGAAATTTTTTCATTGCACATTGAATAACATCTGACCTTTGGAAAATCTGACAAGATTTACCTCTAAAGTTTTGAAAAGTTTCAACTTTTTAAGGAAGTATTGATACTAGAAGATAATTAAGCTGAAACATAAATACTAGCAAAAAAGGGGGAGAATGATTTAAAATTTGTTTATGTGTTTTAACAAATATAAATGGTCATAGGCTAATATAATCACAGACTGGTATAGGGAAAGAAGCCACAAAATTCAGATATTAATGTTGGTCTAAAGAAAATGATGCTTGTAAAATTTTAAAAAGTAGACAAGGACATACCAGGACTGACAGTGGTGTTGAAGAAAACTGTTAGAGGGGTATCTTCTACAGTAGGACAAAAGAATGTTATAAGAATTTACCTGTAGTACTTCCAGACTGAGGAAGAGTGGTAGTGAACACAGCTGAGGGGCCAGAAGTGGTTGTTAATCTTATTTCAGGTGAAGTGGAGGCAGTGCTAGTGGTGGTAGTGGTGATGCTTGTGCCCTCACTAGCTGAGGCTGTGGTGCTGGGGCCAGCCGTGGTGCCTGTGGTGGTTCTTATTTTAACTTCAGAGGGTGTTGTGGGAGATGTTGTAGACTGGGTTGCCACAGTGGAGGTTTCTCCTGGAGCAGAGGTGGCAGAGCTTCTTGTGGTGCTTCCTGCTGTGGTTCTGGAGGTGCTGGCAGTGCTGGTGGCAGGGGTAGGCACTGTTGTTGTGGGTGGGGTGATGGTTGTTGTACCTTCATTCTGAGGCAGAGAGGTGCTGATGGTGGTAGCGGTCATGGTTGTGCGCTCTCTGGCTGAAACTGTGGTGCTGGGGCCAGCCGTGGTGCTTGTGGTGGTTTGTATTTTCATTGGCTCTGTGTATCTTGGGGTGACGATGGTGGTTCCTTCTGTTGAGTGGGTACTTGTTGTTCCTACAGTGGTTGTTATTTCTTGCTGTGGAAGTGTGGCAGCAGGAGTTGGTGTTGCTGCAGGTTTTGTTGCTACAGTGGTCGTTTCTGCTGGGAAATATGTTGTCGAGGTGCTTACAGTGGTTCCTGGGGTTGGTACTGTTGTCTGGCAGTGTTTTCGTTCACAGCACAGCACTGAGACCTCATAGTCAAAGCAGGTGGGGTACTTAATAGTCTGATCCTTATTTCTGCACACAAGCCCCCTGTCAAGACTGCAGTCAAATTTCTGTTCCATTATTTTCACCATGGTGTCAGAGTAGTCTTTAGCTCGGCACTTGATGTCTTGAGGCTTGGCACACAACTCATAACCAGCAGCTCGGATGTTTTCAAATGTCTCTAAATCTCCATTTTCGCTGCCCGGTGTAGGGGAGTCCACATTAAACCACTGTGTCCAGGCACAGCTCTCCACCACGCAGTTGTCTGTGGTATTGGAGATGCGGACAGTAGTGGTGCCTGGCATGGGCACTCTTGTTGTGGGTGGGGTGATGGTGGTTGTGCCTTCGGTCTGAGGGGGAGACGTGCTGGTGGTGGTAGTGATGATGGTTGTGCCCTCTCTGGCTGAGGCTGTGGTGCTGGGGCCAGCCGTGGTGCCTGTGGTGGTTCTTATTTTAACTTCAGAGGGTGTTGTGGGAGATGTTGTAGACTGGGTTGCCACAGTGGAGGTTTCTCCTGGAGCAGAGGTGGCAGAAGCTCTTGTGGTACTTCTCTCAGTAGTCCTGGAGGTGCTGGCAGTGCTTGTGGCTGGTGTGGGCACTCTTGTTGTTGTTGGGATGACGATGGTTGTACCTTCAGTCTGAGGCGGAGAGGTGCTGATGATGGTTGTGCCCTCTCTGGCTGAGGCTGTGGTGCTGGGGCCAGCCGTGGTGCCTGTGGTGGTTCTTAATTTTGTTTCAGGGGTGGAGGCAGTAATTGTTGATGTTGTTTGAACAGCAACAGTGGGTAATACAGTTTGAAGAGTTTCTTCTGTAGATGTACTGGTGCTTTCCCTGGTGGTTGTCGCGATGCTGGCACTGGTGGTAGCTTGTGTTGGCACTCTTGGTCTGGGTGTCGTGACAGTCGTGCCTTGTGTTGGCAGGGCTGTAGTACTGGAGATTATTGTGGTGCCCGGTGTTGTTTGTAGTGTTGATTCAGGGAGCGTGGAGATGGTATTGGGTGGTGATGGAGCTTGGGTTACCACAGTGGAGGTTTCTGCTGCAGTAGTTGTGATTTGGTACCCTCTTGTTGAGAATTGTGATGTTGTTGCTGTTACTGACGTTTCGGTTTGAGTCGTCGTTCTTTCTCGGTCTCTCATTGGTGTTGTAGTTACTTCACTTTCTTGTTTTTGTGTTGTTGGTATTATTGTTGTCTGTACTGTAAATGGTGTTGATTCTACAGCAGTAGTTGTGAATTCGCTTGTGGTTGTGGGTGTTGTAGTTTGTGCTTCTGAACATGGTATGTATCTGCAGCATGATATTCTGATTTCATAATTATAGCACTGCTTAGATTCTTGGTCCTGGTTATTGCATATTAATCCTCTGCTTTGACTACACTCTACAGTTTGGTTAAGGTTGGTAATTTCAGTATCTGGGTGTTCTTTGGCTCTGCATTGAACATCGCTTGGGTTTGTACACACACTGTATCCTTTATCCTTGAGATTTTGATATGTTTCATAATCTCCACTGTCCTCTTTGTTTTCAGGCTGAGTGGTATCATACCATTCTGACCACACACAGACATTTTTCACACATACAGTTGTCACTGGTGTTGCAGTTGTCATTTCTGTAATTTAAAAAAGGAAACATAAGTCTTGTCTGTTCTTAATAAAGAGAGATCCAGGAAGAAATTATTAATCTTCCATACACTTTTTGTTGTAAATAGTTTTTTAATATTAGGTAATATTTTAATTTTAATGAACTTGCTTTGGAGTTTCAAATTTCATTTCTAAAGTAGGTTTTGACTTTTTGCCTGTCTTATTATTGTAGAGGTAGTTTCTTTGACATCTGTACCTAAATATAGGTAATCTGATATCCTTTGCACAGTATGTCACTGCTTAGATAATAGATCACACAATTGCTTTGGTATAAGTAGAGGAGGTTTTATTCTCCTTGATATTATCTCTGTATTTATTTACACTTAACTGCATAACCATGCAGATTTTAAAATATTTTGACCAGTTAATGACTTTTCTATTTAGTTCAATATTACCACACGTAACATATTTATAAATATATGTACTTAACCTCTATGTATTTTATATATAGTACTTTATAATAGAGAATACAGATATACTATATATGAAATATATAATCTAATAGGTATTTTCCATGTATTTTCATAAGACTTCATATTCCTGGCACTATGAAGATAACCATGTGGAATAGATACTAATTTCTCAATATGAAGGTTATTTAATAGATGACTTAAATTTGAATATTTATTTCTTGCTGTAGTACAATTTTGCGGATATGTTTCTCAGAATTACTCAGAATTTGGTCATTGTAATAAATTAACTGCAGGAATAATATAGCAGTGTACTCCAGGTGTAGAATGAAACTGTTGATTTGGGTACTAAACACAATTATGAAAGGTTCCAAAGAATGGTTATAAATAGTTTAAACATTCCCTCAAACTAAATTTCTTATGTGCTCACTAATTTTAGAAATGGCAGCAACTGTCTTTCGTGTTTTCAGAAGCTGGTCTAGAACTGCTGGAGTTTTTTTGCAAGGAAATGAGAAGATTCTCCAGGATGCAGTGATTAATAAACTCTATTAATTTTCCCCCTGGGATCACCGTGATAAAACAGAGGAGACTGAGTTTGTAAGAAATGCTGTATTCATTTCTATATCCTTAACTATTCTTTTTCAACTAAAGCTACCAGGTGAACTGGCAGCTCCAGTAGAAGTCAATAGTTTCAAGTAAAATTATATCCTGTTAACTGATGAAAAGGTTCTGCCTTTCAGGTAATTTTTACTTACAGATATTTTTGAGTAATTTTAAAGATTATTCATGCATACCTGAAGCAGTAGTTGTGGGCTGACTTGTGGAAAATGTAAATGGGGTTGTTGTAAAAATGCCACATTTAAAGATGTTTCTGCTTATCGTTCCATTGACATCGCATGTTGCACTGAAACACCATCCAGTTCCATCTGTGGTGTTGTAGATGAGTTCACCATATTTATAGCTATTCCCTTCATAAATGCAGTTGCAGGCTGTAATTCAGAAGTTTATTGTCAGCTCATGCATCTGTGTAAAGATAGCATCCAATACTTCTTTTTCTAAATAATTTTTCTTAACTATCTTACCTTTATCATCAAACTTGCACTGTAAACCTTCTGATGTGCACTCACTGAAACAGAAAGCATAAAACCCCATATATTTTGTGATTGTGATGTAATATTATTAGTCATCTTTCTGACAGATACTGGCATCAAAAGGCAAGGCACTTTGTGTTTATTCCTAGAGTATTCTGTTCATTTTGGCTCCTTTTTGGCCATTATTTTCCAAAATCTTCCTTTATATTAAACCCAAACTTGCAAATAGCAGTGAAGTGAAATATTATGCAAAGTTACAGGTAGAAGTCTCAAGGAAGACTTTCCTTTTTTCCTTCATAACACTTTCCTTGCATTTGCAATGTTTTTGTACTAAAATAGAAGGCTAAAAGTGTAAGTCTAAATGCTCAAATGACACAAGTATGTTACAAAATCCTTGGAAGCAGGCCGCTAATAAATATCTTCACTCATGGCACAACATTTTTCCTGCCACAGGAATGTGAAATAAAGATAGCCTAGTCATAAAGGACTTCTTGTTCTTGATGTATCTTAATGCTGAGGATTTACAATATAATCGGGAACAAATTCATTAAAACATAAAATCACATAAAACCTTCTTATTAAGTAGGAAAACTAGCATTAGATCATAAGGCATTATTTCATCACAGGTAGCATGAGCCGATCCTGCACGTAACAGGAACATACAACTTCCCCCTGGAGTTTTGATCTTTTTTCCCTTGTATATAATGACGCTGGTGTGTTAAGTCTTACCATATATTACATTCATCCCGCTTATATATCTTTCCATCTTCATCATCATAACAGTCACAGAGACTAACACACTTCATCTGATCCTCATGAAAATATGGCTTGTCTGGTGGGCAGTTAGGGTAGCAGCCTGAAGGTGGAAAAGGTAAGAATGAGATACAGTGAGCAAAGGTTTTATTTGCGCCAAATGCATTTGCAGGGCTTGTTTTTAATAGTCATCATGTTTTTACTTTATGTTTTGCAATAGCTCTAGGAAGAAATGCAGAGTTACTAGCGTCAGCAGAGCCCATCCAGAAGAACTTATCCTAGAGATCTTCTTACTGCAGTTTCCATACTCTGCCTCCATTCACGTGCATGTATTGATATTAGAGAAAATTCAATTGTGCAAATGCAGCTGATGGAGGAAATATACTTCATCAAAGACAATTTAAAACATGGCAATATGTACCCTCTAGGAGGTACTTGCAGCTATTTTTACCTTCTAAACCTGGCAGGTCATTGAGGCATTTTCCACTTGGGTTCTTACAGGTCTTCATACAGGAAGCACCACAAGGCTTATAGTGCCATTCGCATTCTCCTTGCTGATTGTAATAATCACAGAACAGTGCTAAGGAGAAACAGAAAGTTGAACATATTCAGGGAAAGAAAAAAAAAGAGCCAACAGCTTAAGCATGAAAAATTGACACAGTGAGATATTAATGCACATACATAAGATACTGTACACTTAGCTACATTTTAGGGAGTGTTTATGACACAAAACTTACGACAAATTGTTGGGCTTCTCCAGGCTACGCATACACCAACTTCACTGCATGCTTGAGCATAGGCAGCTACTGCTGTGCAAAAGCAATCACAGTCTCCTCCAGTGTCACAGGCACAAGCATCTGTCACACATGCTTGGTAATATTTTGCTGGTTCAACCTGTTATTAAACAGAAATATAATACTATGCATCCTGCCTTCTAAGTGATTTCTTACCTTTGCTAGAGTAGTTTTCTTACAATTGTAGTATCCCAGAGGAAAGGCCTACATTGGTAATTTCTTTTTCTTTTGTTAGACACTGTAAGACACCTGAGGTGATGCCAAATGATACATCCAAATCATGTATTGACAGATTTTTAGAAACCTAGACTTGTATCCTGGTGTAAGATTAGATTAATTAAAAAAAAAAAAAATTAGGCAACTGCACAGTTACCTGACAACATTTGTTGTGTATTTACAGGTAAAGGCTATGCTGATACTTCATTCCTGTATTATTATTATTTCATTGAGCTTGCCTTCTCTGCCTGGTATGTGAGAATTGTTATTCAAGTCAGGTTGCAAGGAAATGCTTATAATTATGAAATTATTATTATTACTTTGTAGTTATTTTTCTTTTTTAAATGTCTTTTTATTTCTTACAAGTAGGAACTATAAATCTATTCCACTGAGGGTGATTCAGACTGGAGTTTTCCTGGCACAATTTGAAGTGAAACATATTAATAAACGAAGCATGCATGTTAAAACCTTTGAGAATAGCACCTTCAACAACCCACAGACTTCGTTTTCCCACAGTACATGTCTGCCCTGGTAATACCTGAGAGTGACAGGCAGCAAAGACATTGCTGTTGATGATGCTACACTGCTTCTCTGACCAGGATTTCCGATAAGGGTTGGTAGAACATGGGTCCTTGACACTGGAAGCATCAGGGCATGTAGAGGATACTTTCCAGCTGTTTCCAAACTCTAGGACATTCTCTACTACAGATTGACTCCTCGTAGTAAAGTCATTGACACTGTTGCCATCATAATTTCCACAGAGACCACAGACCTGGCCCTGCAAAAGGATGTAAATAAAAGAATAATAGATGTGAGAAAACTTGAAAATCTGAGACTGAAAGAATACTTGGAAGTCTATCTCTTAGAATGGTGGCATTCCATTCTATCAGTCCTAAACATCTTCATACTCTGGGATAGAGGAACAGAATATGACCACTAAGGCTAGAAGGATACTGTTCTTAACTTTTTTCTTTTAAATATGAACAATAAAACCAACTTTGTCATCATAAACCTTCTGTCTTTGAGGTAGATTTTTAACAAGGAAGTGAGGACTCACTCCGCTGATTAAAAGTTTCATTTAAGCCTGGTTTTATACAGTAGCTATACATATAAAAACAAACTTCCAGCTATTATTACCACTTCAGACACCTAATCTATTAATTGAGTCTTTACCATTAAGTCTGCTCACAGGTATATAAGGAAATTACATTTTCCTTGTGCATCCAGAAATATCCCTCATTCTGAATGTATGGATCTGTACAACTGTGAGAGGCTGCAATACATGCTTTTTCTATGAAACCAAGGTGCACACTTTCCATATTACTACTGTTTTTAAAAAATGCTGGTAAGTGATGCAGGGAAAGAACCTATGGTACTGAAAGAAGTTGGTTCTAAATTATGCTTAGTTTAAATACCTAATTTAAATGTCATTTTGGTATGCATTAAGATAGAAATTTCTGTATTTACTACAGTTTTTTGTGCTTATATATCATAATCTAAGAGAAGGAGTATGAAAATTTGAATTAATTTTCCTTAGCGTCTGTGTGGTTATATGCTTGACAAATACTTGGTGGCATAAAAGAGGCTTTTACTCATTATACACTCCTTGTTCTTGAAGTGTGATAATTTGTGTGTCAATAAGAACTGGAAACAATGGATTATTTTCAAGATCAAGCCTATTCAGCTGATTTATACACAGGTAGTTATGTAATTTTAATAAGTCTGATAACCTGTAACAAGGTTCCGTTTGTAATTTCAACAAAGTCAAGTCCAAAATAGTGTTTTGCCAACTGAAGTTCTGTCAGGCCAAATAGGCACTGGAAGCTGCCTTCCAAGCTCAGAATGGCAGCAGGATGATGACAAGGCTTCCTGAGGTACCAGTGGAATGGAAAGCAATGTGGGATGAATGGCAGGAATGCTAGAGACATCACTATGTGGGATCCTGGCAGGGTCTCAACAAGATTCACACCCAGTCAAACCTGGACAGTAAATTGCCATTGAACTGCTAGTTCCGCACCTTGAAATCAGGGCTGAGCTTGATGAAGATGCTGGTTTTCTTGTCCCACATGAGGATCAGTCCACTTTTGGTCTCAATTACCAGGTACATCCCCATATAGCGGACTGTGTATGGCACCTCGTCATTCTGTCCTCTCTTTACGACACTGACACGCTCTTCACCAAGGATCAGCTCATAGCTCTGAAACAGGAGGAAAAGGTAAGGAGAAATGAGCTCAGTAGCTGCAGCAGTGCTCTCAAACATGTTTTGCTGCTTTTAAGAGTACTATGAATAGTTTATACCATGAAAACAATAATCTAAATGCAATAAATCAAAGCAATATAATTAAAATCTCAGGTTCCTGGAAGTGTGGTAACATATTTTGAATGGCGTATGTTTAAAAAGTGTCTTTTGACTGTCATGGAGGAGCTACATTGCATACAATAAAAGAATCTTCTGACACAATAGGCTAAATTTCTGCCTTTAGACCTTTACTTTTCCCAAGGACGATGTAAGATAGTGTAGGAAGTTGAAAACACAGAAAGGTAGGAAGATCTACCAAATATTTCACTTGAATCTGATGTAAACTTAATTTAATAGTTGAATTGCTTTTTAAAATATTTTCCGAATTCTTTGAAGCAGTAGAAATCTAGGCTTCTCCTAAGCCTTAGCAGGTACAAAACAAAACTGCTCTGTATGCAAAACCTTCTTACCTCTAAGAAAACTTTGATAGACTTTGAGCAAGTTGTCCCGGTGTTGCCACAGGGAACATTTTCAGTGGCAACTCTGAAGGTTCCATTGACTGTGCCACTTTTCCCACAGTGGTCCTGGATAGAGAATAACATTTCAAGATATATTATTTTTACAGATAGGATCAGGATTACCTCTCATTTGCTACTGCTAGCTATCAGTACCTGGACTAGTGTGTATTCACAGTTTCCATTGAAGCTGAACCTTTTGTCATCAAAGGTATTATAATGACCATCTCCATAAACAGCACAAGTGCCCAAACATTGATCTTTGGTACATTCCCACTTCCTATTCTTGCATACACTAGAAAAAAAAAAAGAATTAAATATTTTAATAACAAAACAACTTACTCTTTTGTGTAGACATATCTGAACAATCAATATTTGTTTGGCAACCCATCCCTGCCAAATGCTGTATTTTTTCTGGGAATAAAACACTCTTTTACATTTTTAATGTAAAAACTAAAGAAAATTCTGTTCTGCTACCTGAATACCTTAACTGCAAAACTAGGTACTTAATAAACCCTGTAGTCCTAAAGGTTTCCTCCCATTTTCTGCTTTGGCCATCTGACAGATATCAGAAGGCAACCTTCTCATACTGTGTAATCCAAAACGAGAATATCTAAAATCCATCAACTGATTAGATTTGCAATCCAAATCTTTTACTATAAAAGGTCTTTAGAAAGGCAAATGATGGCATCAGGAATGCTACTTCTGCAGATATACTTACCAGGTGTTACAGTCGAAGTTGATCTTTTCCCCAGGCTGATACATGGCTTCATTATGAATACATGGACATTCCCCTTCAGGAATACAACCACCCTTTCCATCTAACACAAGCCCATCTGGGCATATGCAGCCAGATGTACATTGTGAGCTATACTGGAAAAGATAAAAGAAAAACATAATTTTAGAGTGAAATGATCACATTAGAAAAAGGAAGAATAATTTTCATTAAAGGTGCCTTATATGGTCTTATTGCTGACCAACTTAAATAGGAGAGAACTATAAAGTAATTAAAGGGTAACGGAACAAAAAAGTTATTAGCCATAGATTTAATAAAATATAAATGTGTCAAAGAAAAATGTTACCAATTCTGATTGTTCTGCTGGAACCCGTGAAATTTAAAAGACATTGGCTCTTGCACTTCGTAGTGGGTGATTTGTGACTGAATGGACTTCTTTTAAAAGAAAGACAAGTAATATTTTTTTCAGTTTAGCTGAGTTGTATTGAAATCTATCTCATATGGTACTTACTCATGAAATGGCATGTGGCTACCAAGAACTTTAGTGGAGTAACATGATTAGATGCAGTATGGTATGAGAAAGAATCATTTCTCCTAGCCAATTTTTAGCCTTTCCTAAAGAAGGCAAATAAGCAGTAGAGCTCTAGATTTTTCACTACTGGTTACTATTACCTGCAGTAGCTGAAGAAAGGTAGACACTAATCTTAAGAATTAATTTGGATATTTCTTATTATATTTTGATCCCAGGATTCCATTGTTTTAGGGCTTCTGCTACAAGAATAATGTATCTGTGTTGTAGGTTTGGAGTGGATCCAACAGATAATTATTTCAGCAACAAGAGCACAGACAAAACCTGGAAGCACCATTTCATTGGGCCATGAAATACTTACACACTGCATATCCAGAGTCTGGCAACTTTTTTGACATTCTGCTCCTGTTGTTCCTGCTGTGTTATTTTGACAGTCAAAGTAGACCATGGGAGATTCACAGACTAGAGGAAGGAAAGAAGTGGCACAGGGTTTATTCCACAGCTGTAGCCATTTAAACCACCTATAAGTTCTTTGGAAATTCCCTGTTTCAGTTAGTAGAGATTGTTGTCCCTATTCAACCTGCTGATTTACTACATAGTACTGGATTAAAAAAAAAAAAAACCAAACCAAAAAACAAAACAAAACAAACAAACCAAAAAAACCAAAAAAACCCAAAAAACCCCCACAAAATAGAATAAAAAGTCTTTATGTAAAATGAGGTTTTATGATTAATCTAGTTCACTCCTGCCTTTTATGATAACTGTAGCACTATGACTAAGTGAGAAATGCTTCTATTAAAAACCATTAAGAAGAATCAATTCTATGAACTATTCTGTGCAAAACCTGGTAAAGATAAAAAAGTAAGTGGAAGATTATTTTTACCTGAAGTTGGATTTGGTGCTCCAATGCAATTCAGTCTTCCCTGGACACAAGTGCTGTGAGAGAGGGAAAAACAATCTATTTTATTATCTCCTCTCAAACCAAATATTGAGATTGAGAGCTACTTATCCCTTGTCAAGTTTCAGAATTTTCAAAGGAATTCCAAAAACCTGTTTTGCAGTCTCAGGAAAGAACTTGTCTCAATACCACTACATGTGCTGCTTTCATATGATTCCATTGTTGCTTAGCAGGAAAATTTGTAGGTTGTAATGCGTGTATGCCATTGCTTGTTACTTAAAATTCTCATAAGATGTCCTCTTGTTGTTGTAATTTTATACTTGAAAGATTATAGAATTAAATAAAAAAAATGCACCAGTACAATTGCCCTATCAATCTAGAAATATTACAGAATCATAGAAAACTTTAGGATGGAAAAGACCCTTAAGATCCTCTAGTCCAACCATTAACCCAGCACTGCCAAGTCCACCATTACACTATGTCCCTAAGTGCCATATCTCTATGGCTTTTAAATACTTGCAGGAATAGTGACTCAACCAGTTCCCTGGGCAATCTGTTCCAGTGCTTGGCAACCACTTCAGTACAGAAATTTTTCTTAACATCCAATCAAAACATCCCCCAGTGCAACTTGAGACCATTTCCTTCCATCCCGCCACTTGGTACTTGGGAAAAGAGGCTGACCACAACCTGCTTTCAGTTAGTTTTAGAGAGTGTGTCTTCACTGAGCCTCCTGTTCTCCAGGTTAAACACCCCAGGTGCTTCAGCTGCTCCCCATAATACCTGTGCTCCAGACCAGCTCTGCTGCCCTTCTCTGAACACACCCCAGCATCAAAATGCCTTTCTTGTAGTGAGAGGCTAAAAACTGAACAAAGGATTTGAGGTGCGGCCTCACCAAGACCAAGTACAGGGGGACAATCACTTCCTCAATGTCAAAGGCTTTACAGAAGTCCAGACAGATAACATCCACAGCCTTTCCCTCATCCACTAACCAGGTCACATTGTCATAAAAGGAGATCAGGTTGGTCAAGCAGCAGCTGCCTTTCCCAAACCCATGCTGGCTGGGCCTGATCCCCTGTTTGCCCTGTATGTGCCACTCAAGACAATTTGCTCTGTGTCCTTCCCTGGCACCAAGGTCAGGCTGACAGTTCACCAGATCCTTCTTCTGGCCCACACTGCAAATGGGCATCACATTTGCTGACCTCCAGTCAACCAGGACCTGCAAGGTTAACCAGACTGCTGACACATGGTTGAAAGTGCCTCTGTGAACACTTCCACCAGCTCCCTCAGTGCCCTTGGCTGGACCCCATCTGGCCCCATAGAGGTGTGTGCATATAAATGGTGTAACAGGTCATTAACCAATTCACTTTTCATTGTAGTGGCTCCATTCTGTTCTCTGTCCCCATCCTGAAACTCAGAGGAATATGTACCATTTGTAAAAGTTGAAAATAAAGTTAAAAGAACTTAAAGTTGAAGAAATTGAAGATAGAGCATTCTTTTGAAATTCAGGGTGAAACCATCCTACACATTCCAGGCTTCAATGAGAAAACACACATTGTTTGAATGTTTTAAAAAAGATTACTTACCATACACGCCCACTTTCATGGACCACTTCTCCAAATGGTACAGGAGATCCTTTATAGTAGCAGGGGCATTCATTAGCAGGCACACATTTGCCACTCTCATCCATGTAGGTTCCATTTACACAGGTGCAGCCGTCAACTGGGACAAACTTGATGTTGCATGTGACATCAGGCTCACTCAGAGAGCGGCAGGTGGGTTGACAGGAAGAGATGGTATAGCTGTAGCTCAGGGATTTGGGACATGAGGTGGTGTATTTTGCTTGAGAGAGGAAAATAAAATAGATTGTTAATTCCCGACGGTAAATTCTCATGTGAAAAAAAGAAAAATCAGAGGCAGTAGAAATAACATGTAAACATACACCTCTGCTTATGTTGCATATTTCATGTAAATGTATTTCTGAATAATTTCAGAGTTTGATCTGAAAAGCTATTGCACATGTGGAGTAAAAGATGCATGCAAAGAAGAAAAGATTTTTTCAAATGGAAGTTCAGAAGGAAACCTCCATTTGGTGCTGCCATTCATTGCCAAGATGCCTAAACTTTTTGAGGAATGAGACAAGATATCTTCCTGAATGTCATCTGCTATGCTGAAAACAGACATACTGGGTGAGCAGAACCCAGCATGCAGCTTCAAAGACATGAATTTGCAAGTGTTCTGTTTGATATTATTAGTACTGTTATTCTAATACAACACATTATCTCTGCAATAACTTGTTATACGGGTAAAGCTGTAGTGAAACTCTTAAGTTGCACAGAAACAGGTGGAGGCACTTCCATAAAAACAGTCCCTTTCATAATCAAACCACATCTCCCTTCTATTCATATTCACTCTTGCCAGCAATGGATTGATTTTAAGGGGACAGCAGAGAATTACTCCAGGAGTGCACTTAACAAAATGCTGTCCTCATCATTTACTGATTTGTCTAGAAATGAGTAGAAAATAATCTCTGATCAGCATTTTTTACTGATGTGTGTTCTTAGGAAATGTGGAGAGTACTTACTGCAGACATCAGTCCTCCATCCCTGCAGCTGGATTCCTTTTTCAGCACAAGCTCTCACATAGGCAGACAGAGCTGCACACAGACAGTCCTCACTATTTTCACAGTTACAGGTGTCAAACATGCAGTTCTAAGAATGGAGAGAAAAATAAGGTCCCAGTGCTGGTAATATTGTCAGTCTTTAAAAAAAAACAGTGAACTTTATCTTTCAAGTCTTATTCCTTAATCTTTCTTCAGATATGCTCACTCATAGACAACAGCAACACAGCTTTATCACTTTCTAGTCTTTGTCTAAGGTTCCTGGCAGGGGAAAATGCAGGTAATGAAAATTCAGTCAATTACTGCAGTTATAATTAGGAAATAGTGGTCTTAAATCTGTTATACATTTTGCAGCTTCTTGGTCCTCTGAACCTTTTCAGTGGATATGCTGCACAACAGCTTCCAAAGCTCTTTCACAACGTGCAGTCCAGACACCCGTTTCACCAGTGTCAACACCTGGGTGGCTCCCAGTGAGAAAAGTGGTTTGCAACGCGTTGACAGCAGAGTGATGGTAATTAGGTAATGGGCTTTCTGTTCCAAGCAGTCATTAATGAGATGCCAGGCTGATAAAGTAACAATTGACTGATATTCAAACAAGCATTTGACATGCCTTTAAATACACTATCTGGCTTATGTGTAAAACCACCCTGGAGTAAATAGCTGCCTTTTCTCCGGCAAACAAGTCAGGATCTTGAAGCCAAGACTGACAAGTGAAATAATGTTACAACACAGAGAAACACATGCTGAAAGAAGGAAGTACTGCAGCACAGCAATGGGGATGCAGGCATTGCCTAAGACACGTCTGAAACAGTTCCTATTTCTATTGTTTCCAAAGGGAAAAGCAGTCGGGCAAAGTACCGTGTGGTAAACAGCGGGATTCACTGCATAGTGACAAGCAGCAAAAGGTCCTGTGCTGTCAGTGAGCAGTCCACACCAATGCTGAGCGTATTTTTCTGTGAAATGAAGACACAATAAAAATGCACATTACTCTTTGTACTTCATTAGTCACAAACCCATGCTTGCCCTGGCCTAAGCAGACAGTTCTGGCATTCCATTAAATCTCTTTTTCTCCTGTCTATCTCTCTCTCTCTCTTTTTTTTTTTTTTTTTTTTTTTTTTTCTTTTCCCGCTCAGCTTGTGGTTCATGGTTCCTAAAACCAAAGCAGAGGACTTGGTGAAGGAGATGAATTAAAGATTTCCAAAGATGATCCTGTAATCCACTTCTCTGACACCAAGCTGTCAGCTTGGACATCTACTCTTTTTTCAGTGACCTTGCAGTTTGCTTCACTTATGCTTCTGTCACTCTTTTTTTACATTGTTAGTTATCTTCAGTGCATTCATTTTGAATATTTGTTTCTGATTTCAGATGCAAGTTTTTATCAAATATTTAAGTCTTTATTATTTTTATCTTTGCTTTCCAACAGATGTTTTCCTTAGAGATTAGCAAAAAGAAAAAAACAAACCAGAAGAAATTTCAAGAAGCACTCACCATTATCAATGCTGAGTGCACAAGGATTCTCAAAACTCTGCTGGATATTGGGGCATGAAGCCTGAGTTTTCCATGTGTTAGCAAATGCTGATGCTGTTCCTTCAACTATTCCACTTATGACCTTGAAGTCATCAGTTTGGATGTTATTGAAATTTCCACAGAGACCTGTTGAAAAGGAGTGAAAAGTTTACACTGCTCTGACTACAAAAAAAGACATTGATCAAGGAGTTCTTTATTTCATTCACTCACCACAAGTTTGGTTTTTGAAAGAAGCGTCCAGACGCACAAACACTTGCATCATGGGTGTGAACTGCACCTCAACCTGGACGCCAAAGCTTGTGTCCATGATCATGAAGAATGAGGAAGGTCTGAACATGGTGACATTAGCTACACATGAGAAACAAAATGGTCACTTTCTGAACAAGGCCAAATGCTGAAAGCACAGTACTGTTCTTTTTTAATTCTATTGCATTTTTTGCAAATTCAGAAGTGAAACAAAGATCTGTAGGTCAGAGATATCACATGCAATCCTTAGTTCTTGAAACAAAAATAAAATTTATTTCTAAGCAAGTGTGAGCACAGGGGTAGTAACAAAAAAAGAGGTAAAAGAGGTAAAGAGATGTCTTCTGCCTTCACTTTTGTGCAGTGAGAAGGAAGTAAATCTGAGTAATCAAATCAGGAGACTGTGAATTCTGTTTGCTACTGTTTGAACCCTTGCCTGTGCTTGTCCAGCATGACACCAAACATCCCACTTTACTTCAAAAGCACTCATGTAATTTACGGTTAGAGGAAAAAACTACCTGCTGACATGGGCAGCTGGGTGTAGATGGAGTTCACGAACACACCGCCATCAGGTTTGACCTCCACGATCTGATAAGGAAGAGGAACAAAAGGCAACTCTGTGAATCGTAGAATGGTTTGGCTTGGGACGGACTGTTAAAGGTCATCCAATTCCAAACCCCCTGCTGTGGGACACCTTCCGCTAGGACAGGTTGCTCAAAGCCCCATCCAACCTGGCCTGAACACTTACAGGGATGGCACATCCACAGATTCTCTCAGCAACCAGTCCCAGTGTTTCACCACCCTCATGGTAAAGAATTTCTTCCCAATATCTAATCTAAACCTGTCCCCTTTCAGTTTGAAGCCATTCCCCCTTGTCACATCACCTTGTGCCCTAGGAAAGAGCCCCTCTCCACCTTTCTTGTAGGCCCATTTTAGGGACTGAAAGGCTCTCATTTTAGGGACTAAAAGTCTCTCCAGAGCTTTCCCTTCTCCAGGCTGAACAACCCCAATTCTCTTAGCCTTTCCTGATAGGAAAAGTGCTCCAGCCCTGTGTTAGTCTTTGTGGCCTCCTCTGGACCTGTTCCCACAGGTCCGTGTTCTTCTTATGCTGGGGAGCCCAGAGCTGGATGCAGCACTCCAGGGGAGTCTTCCCAGAGCAATGTAGAGGGGAAGAATCCCCTCCCTCACCCTGCTGGCCACACTGCTTTGGATGCAGCCCAGGCTGGCCTTCTGGCATGCCAGCCATGGGTGAAAAATAACTATAGTCTGAAGAGTAATAATGAGGAGGACCCCAGTGATATTAATTAAACCAATATTCAATAAAAAGATAGATCTTTGTGATATCACCTCCCCCTTATTTCTACTTGGTACATTTTACTAATTTTCCCTGCCAGAAAAGAATACTTTTAAAGGGACTTTTTCAGCTTTTCAGGAGATTACATTATCTTGTTTTCTTTGAACACATCTTAGTGATTAATTACCTCACAAACTGTTGTAACCATAATTACTAACCTTGAAGCCCATGGTCTTTTCCCATCTAATTGGCAGAGAAAATAGCTTTTTTCTGCTTTGTGAGTACAATGTGTTTCTTAATGAAATTCCACAAAGCCAAATTTATGGCTGATCTGATTTTCCTAACAAAATTCACTTCTTTTCGCTTGATTAAAAATATCATCTACTCATCATACATTTGCTGAAAATCAGACAAAGAAATGAAGCTGCCTGACTGATTAAGCCCTAGTTTCTTTTCTCCCCGTATTTTTATTGTGCTTATTTTGCATTCTTACAGTTTGTCCTTTATTCATGTTGAGGGTCACTGACTTCAGGCAGGTCTCGGTGTCGGTCAGGCCACACTTGCGTAGTTCTGCCAGGATGGTAAATTTTTCATCTTTACAGTCCTGGAAAAAAAAAAAAAGTCAAGTTATTTCACAGAAGACTAATTACAGAATTTTTCCCTATAAAATTTTCTCTCAATTCTGAAGAAGTATTTATTTTTCTGGAGAAGATACAGACTGTAGCAAATTCTAGAGCTTTCTTGGCTGAAGATTCAATTTTTCCCTGTTTGAATGATTAGGAACAAGAAATGTAGAATCTGGATTTTATTGATTGTATCCATACGGATGTCAAGATGGAGATCCATATTCGTATTTGGTGGTTTTATTCATGACAACTTCCAGTGTTTGATTCAATTCTATTGTAACTCTCATCTTTCTGTAGCTGGTATCAATGCTAGACAAAAATGTCTGATAAAATATGTTTTAGGTGAACAGTAACATACAATATTTTATTTCCATTTACTGAATGGTGCAGATGGGGAAAAAGGAAAGCAAACAACAAACAGAAAAAGCCCCAAAAAGATCAAAACATTTCACCTACATGTCTGTAATTAAATATTTTAATTATAATTAATTTCCAAATTTTCTATTTATTTTGAGTTGTTTTTAAATGTTTAAAAACATTTAAAAGCTAAGTGGAATGCATCAATTAACTTGAAGTGTTTTTCTGTATTTAAACTCTGCAAAAATAAAAAAAAAAGGGCTGGTTTGTAATCTATATTTTTAAGAACAGTTACTGTAATTTTTAGAGTTGTACCATTTGTCCAAATACTTTATAACAGAGTAACATGGCAAAAATTATGCAACTCAGTAAGAGAGCTAGATTAGTTGTACTGAAGGTTGCACACTAGGCAAATTCTTAAAAGGACAGTGCTCTTCAATTACTCTCTCACAGAACTGGACATTTTCCAGTGAGCACTGCACACGGTTGCATGACATCCTAATAATTACCTGATGATTGTCAGTGAAATGGCAGCGTAGCAAACATCTGGCTAAGCGGCAGGGAATTTAATGTCGGTATGTCAGAAGTTCTAAGTTTAGTAAGTGTTTTCTTTCTATAAATCTATAAGGCTTTATGACCTAGAAGTATCCTCTGAGTCCCACCTTAGAGAGGACGTAGGTGCAGTCTCCGTGGTGATCATAGTGCTTCTTATCATATGTGGAAATGTGGGAGCCTCCCACGACAGAGCACGTTCCTGGGCATAACTTGTCTTGGCAGCTCCACTGGCCTCCATTACAGGTACTGGAAGAATAAAGTTAGGTGGAATCAGTAAGAGTGGTCCAGAACAAGAGGACATACAGTGCTGTTAGGTGCAGCTGCTTTGCTATTGCTTTTTCCTTCAAGCTGTGGTTTGACACACAGGTTTAAGAGTTTCCAAAATGCGGTGAACTTGTGATGCATCGTATTAAAATAGATTTCTCTGGTAATCATTCTCCTTGCTTATCTGATTGTTTTTCTTCTTTGGACAGGTGAACTCTCCAAAACAGGTTTTGGATAAATCATTGTGTGGATTTTTTCAGGTAACATAAAGCACAACGACAAATTAAAATATTTTCTGGGTGGTTTTGTTGTTTTGTCATTGGTTTTTTTTTGTAATACAAATGTATCATAGACTAATAAATAAGAAAAGGTAATTCCACATCTGCTCCTGATGCAGACTGTGTCTGTTTTCAAAGCTGATGTAGTAGAGCACAGGCACAGGATTAATAATTGTGAAATTGTGCTTGTATTGTGTCATCCCTTGCTTTCTCGAGAGAAAATAAATATTTGCAAATACATTAATGACTATAACTTCATTCCCCTCAGAGAATTCCAAATGTTTGAACAAAATAAACAAAGAGGAAGCATTTTAATTGACTGGTGAGAAATCTAAACATTGTAAATCCTTGCTTTGATCACCATGAGATAGAGTGCAAAGCTAGTGATGGCTGTTGCTAAATAAAACAAATAATGTTCTTTAGGGGTGCTTTGGAAATGAAGCGGTCAGTTAAATACACACATCAACTACCAGTGATGCAATTGCATATAATAAACTATTAAAGCCATTAAATATATGAGAGGAAATAGTGAGTTAAAAAAGTAACAAAGGTTACCAGGTCTGGCATGGCTCTGAAAAAGAAGCTCCTGTAGCATAGGTTTTGCCATTGTAAATACAGGAGCACTCCTGCTGGGGAATGCAGCCAGAGTTGTTGATGTCATCAAATACAGTCCCTAAATTAAAAAAAAAAAAAGACAAAACCTTGATCAATTAAAGATGCATTTCCTATACACCATTTTATTTGTTATAAATCCTAAATATTTTCTTAGCAAGAGAGGTGCAGTTGTTGTGAGTGGACACAGCAATGATGAGGACAGCAGGACTGTGTCAGACTGCTGAGGGAAGGATTCAACCTTCACCCTTTGTATCCTTAAATTCCACCTGCTCTGAAAGAGGGACATGTAGCATAGGTGGCTGGTTGAAAGATTAGTCTTGATCTCATTGCTGTTCTTTTTTCCTGCTTTCTGAATATTGCACATGTATTGATAATTAATTCACACATCTTTTCTCAGCTGACACGTGACAAACTCCTGTCACTTGCAGCTGTGAAAAATACAACTATATGAGGCTTAAATCCCATGGAACCTACAGGTAAGCTCTTGTTCTTTGAGATCAGAGATGTGAATACTTAAGGACTTGCCTGGAGGGCAGAAACAGCCATCAATACAGTGCTCTTCACAAAACAGAGATCGTTCAGGATTCGTGCATGTATCAGTACAGGGGGAGTTGCACTCCTGGTACTGCATGTTGTAAGGACACTTCTTGGCTGAAATTTAAAGGAAGAGATTTTTTTTTTCAGTCAAAAGTATTTCTAGTTCTCTATACATGTAAATATTTATATCCATCTAAGTTTGTAAGCTAGATTTAAAAAAAAACACACCAAACTGCAATTGACCACTAGCTCTCAAAATTTGCAAGTTTAACCATGTAAATCCCTGTTTTACAGTTGAGATGTGCATTCCATGACTCTGGTGCTGAACTGGCTCAATGACTGGATTTCTGGGGATGGCAAGGTAACAACCTCAGAAAGCCAGCAAGGTCTGTTTCTACTGAAGGTTCCCTTCTGTATGAACACCTGCACTGCTAGTGAAATGTAAGACTTAAATTCTTAAAACTTTAGTATATTTGCATTTTGATATACCATCAGAAGGACAAGTAGCACCTCATGGGCTTTTGTTTTGGAGCAAATGACAGTATAAACAGCTACCCCATAATCAAGTATATGTTTAAATTAATACAAACTCATCACTGTCAAGCAAGAGGAGATAAACAGGTGGTTAGTTAGACATACACCTGTGAAGATCCAATCAGTTAACTGAGAACCACAAGCGCTAGAGCCATCATGAGGAAAAGAATCAGGAATACAAGCAAGCAAGCAAGCTTGCCTCATTCTTCCTTCTTGTTTCCCCTTTATTTCCTTCCTTCACTGTACCGGTTCCTTAAATTACACTTTGACTCTCATTAGAGTATCCATGTTAGTGTTTTGGTAGTGTTTAATTCAGTTTGCATTAAAATCCTTAGCTCTTTTGTCGAAGTCTTCATGCTAGAACTTATACATCAGAATTTTCTAAAGGATTCAGTCGTGAACAGGCTGTAACTCCTCCTGCATCCTCAGCATTATTTGAGAGCTTGTTTATTAGTTACTGAGCATGTAGTAAGGCTGTCTCCAGTGACACTCACGGCACAGTTTTGAAGTTCTCCAGTCCAGGGGCTGCCCACCAGCATGAGCACACTGCCGGGAGTACTCAGCAAAGGTGTCACAGATGCACGTGCTGTTTTTAGATTCTGCAGAGCGGCACAAGTCATCTTGGCAAGTCTTGATGTAGTCTTCAACATCAACTAGGTCATTACAGTCTGCAAATGCAGAGCTGGTCAATGTTTTCTCGCATATGTCATCCTTTGGAGGAAAAAAATAGACAAATCTCAGTAAACAGAAAGAAGTTGGGGGGGTTGGTATTGTTATTTTTTGTAATTATTATGTAACATAATTTTATAGCTCTCTTTAAGTTGTTGTTGCCTGAGGGCTTTTGCTATTGGCCTGTATGAAGTTGTAGAAGGGAACGGATAAATTTGAAAGAAAAACAAAAGGAAAGTCAAAAGATCCTTACGAGATTATCAGAGCAGTTATATGTTGGGATAGAAGTGGAGTCTTCACAGTGCTCTGTTGGCCCATCCATTTTCTGCATATTCCCAAACTGCAAGGCTGTCATCTTAATATCTGTAGAAAATAAGTTTAATAATGAAGATCAGAGGTTTTTGTTCAAAGCAACTGCCTGTTATCTTTTTTTTCTCTCAAAATCTGGGTCAAGGCTGGCCAAGACAGTTAGCTCCCTTAAGCTAAATGTGATCATCACCTCTTCCAAAGGAAGCGCTACATCACTACCTCAATTTTCTTTGTACAGCACCCTGGAAAAAGCAAACATTGGAAAACAATTCTCAGCCTATTACATCTAGATGCACACTACGATTTTTCCCAGAAAAATAACAAACCCTACTCAGATTATATTGAGCCATTCAGGGCAGAGGAAAAAAAAGATCTAAATGGGAATTTGGAGAATGGAGATTGTTGTAAGACAAGGTTTAGGAAAATGTTCCAGCTGGGAATAGTTAAAAATATAAGATTTTACAAAGATTATGCAAATCAACAGGGAAATGTGGATATACGGATTTTGAGACAAAAATGAAACTAGAAATGTACTGTCTAGAAAATATAATTGCCTTTTGTTTTATTGAATATATTTCTATATTTAATTATCTTATTAGTGAAAATCTGCTCATTTTTATGGAGTTACCTGATTAGTTTTACCAGCATGGTTTACAACAGTGGCAAGCAAGAGATATGCAATCAGTTGTTAGCACCAGTACTATATTTACACTCAGAGCATTAATTTACATAATCTGATCTCTCTACTACATATTTTTAAACAGAGATTGAATCATATCTTATGGGTAAATCATTTGACAGGATGGGAAAGAGGAATGCTGATGATGTCAGCCTGTTGGAGATCCCATAAACCTTTTTTTTTAAATTTAAAACACTTACTGTTTGAAATGAACTCATTGTATATGGGAAAGCCGTTGAAGTCACCACAAAGTCCACAAGTCTGATTGGCATATTTCTCATTCAATTCCAGCTACAATGATGAATAGCAAGTTGACAGAAGTTAGTATAAATATTCTAAAATATATTCAAGACCAGAGAAAACAGTTGCATCTGCGGTCTCTTAGTATATCTTGTCAGATCTGTGGAATTTTATTTAGCAATTTAATTCAAGCATGAAGGATGGAATAAAGACAGCTTATATTTGACTGCAGAGTCCAAGCTATTGATACTACTGACACACACTTCAAATTTCACTGCACTATCTATACTATCCTTAGCCACTTTCTATTGATTCTTCAGAAAGAAAATCAAATCCACAGAAAAAAATGAAGGTATAGGAGAGTGAAATTCTGCTAAAAAATATATTTGAAGGGGTAATTAGGCCCTATAATAATACTAATAGTACTAATAGCTAATGATACAATGAAAGTGATTTTTCATCCTGTTTTAAGCAGATGCTTGCCATCCACTATGTATAAATTCATGTAATTTTCTTTAGGACTACCTGGATGCAAGCCTATCTTTACTAAGAAAGAATTGCTCAACAGTGTGAGATAAGAAGGCAGTAGCAACCCCCATAACAGGTAGAGCCAAGCCTAATCAAAGATTAGCTCTGTTCTATGAAGGGGTAAACAGGTCCAGGAGCAGTTCTTACCAGAATGCTGTCCTTTTCATTCCACAATAACACAACACCGATTTTGCTGCCAACTTTCACATAAATGCTGCTCTTCTCTATCGTAATACCAGATTGACTATATGGCAGTTGAACTCTGGGAAAAGGCAGAAAGAATGCTAGTTAGCTTCTGATCCAAATGTTTGATAAGAAGGGAAAGTCTTGTGGTGTCCACCATCTGTAGGTCAGAAAGAATGCTAGTTAGCTTCTGATCCAAATGTTTGATAAGAAGAAGAGAAAGTCTTGTGGTGTCCACCATCTGCAGGAATTCAAAAATAGTGTATTTTTGGGAAAGAAAAGCAATTATGAAATAAGATGGTCCAGCATTATCAAATATGGATGCAAATTTGGATCCAGCTTCTCAGAACATTTCATCCAAATTTTATTTTTGAGGCAATCCTTAAGAGAAGGATTTATTTTGTATGGCATGAATTAATAGCATTTTATTCATTATTTATGTTGGTAAAATTGTCAGATCTATTAAAGAATACATAATTGTTTCCCCCTAAACACACCAAAGTACTTGGCAATAATTGGGAAAAAAAAAGCCTGTGGATTATGTTGGTAAAATTGTCAGATCTATTAAAGAATACATAATTGTTTCCCCCCCGCCCCCCAAACACACCAAAGTACTTGGCAATGATTGGAGAAAAAAAAAGCCTGTGGGTACCTAAGAAGTGTTATGAGTGAACTTACCTGTTGCCATCGACCATGACAGCATCTTTTGTTAGTTCAGCAACAACACCTTCGAGTTTCATGGTGATGCGGTTGATGGTTGGAGTGTTTGCCACCACTTCACGCCTAATCTGGATGTTGAAATCCTCATAGGGAGCGTTGCAGTGGGAGGCAAAAACGTAATTACAGAGCCCAGGGAAGGTGAATATGTCCCCATCGAAGGTCTTGAAGTGGAAGTTGCCCCATGTGCTGCACACACGGCCATTGTGAGCAGGATTAGCAGCTGTGAATTAAGACTGGCTGTTAAAAATTACTTAAAATCCCCAGCCTCCCCATGGGGAAAATCAGCTTGTCCAAAGCCTCGTTTTCTCACTAAATGTCTTTTGCCTTCCTAGCTCCATTTGCTGTTTTCTATCTAATCACTATACAGCTGAGTATGCATTCATCACTCATATCTCTTACTCATATACCCTACAAATGGTTACAGTTATGTTCAGCTGGAGCTTAATTAGTCACCTTCACTTCAGCTAAGACAACAGTTTATTTCTAATCACCATGTGTCTCTTCTGAATTATCCATGGCTTCCTTTATTGGTACCTTTCCCCATTTATATTAAAGTCTTCTGTCTGTACCCCTTAAAACTGAACACTTACTGAATACACTTAGTTTCCTTTACTTACATGTTATTGCTAGATTTGTTAGCAGTGGTGGAAAGATGTTCAAGTTAGCTGAAATTTTGAAAGAAGCTAGAAAAGAAATAAGAAAGAAATCAAAAACTAGCATAACAATACCTACATTTGCATGTAGAATACACCCAGGAAGGACTAGGGAGTTAATATGCCAGACCCAAGGAAACAATGTTAAGCCTGTTTTATTTTACACAGGTTAAAAGCAGATAATAAAATTTGAACTCAGTATACTTAAGTCATAAGAAAATTGCTTTCAGCTGTGATGTTCTGCATTTTTTACATGTTAATTTTGACCTTTTTATGAAACTGTGCTTCATTAGAATATTGGAATTCTTCAGAGACATAGAACAATACAAAGGGCTAAGCTGTATTAAATTAGCCTCTCACTGCTACAAAAGCAAATTTGCCTTCTCATTACACCTCCTCTTTCTAAGGAGAGAATAAAAACCTTAATTATCAACTTTTCTCTGTTTTATATTTTTCTATTAAGGGGCTGAAAACTCTTCAAATGGCCACACATTGGTTTTATAGGACAGACACAAATCATTACATGGCAAAAGTCAGGGAGGATGGGTTGGCTTCTTGGTTTCCCAACATCAGCCACTGATTTCACAGCAGGCCAAAGTGGTCTCACTTCCTTTTTTTAAAAGGAACCAAGCATCACTTTGGTTTTATATGTACATGTTCATGCAGATATGGATTCAGCCTCTACAAACACATCTGTTTGCTTAGTTAACTATGATCATACAAATTTAGCCATACTGTGTAATATGTGTGTGTGAACTTAGTAACTGGTGTCTAGTAAATATATTGCTCTTCTTAGAGAGATGTTAATAAACATTTCTTTTCATCTGGCACCACTGGCAATACGCTAAGGAGGGTTTTTTTAAAAGGCATTTTTATTATTCAGTATGGATGTAGCAAATAAATACAAATATGCAGTATAAATAAATGTACCATTCTTTTTCTGTAGAAGACCCCCAGAGAACTGACTTCCTATTTGGATTCCAATATGACCTCCTGTGAAAAAATTGTGAAAAGCATATTAAGAGTAATATCCTGTACCTGAACTTTTAAAGCAAAGCATTTAGCTAGGATCAAAGGACCCAGATACAACTCTGTAAAACACAGGGGAGAGTCTCCTTTATCACATCAGAAAAAACGAAACAGGCTCCTCAAGAAAGCTACAATGTTATTATAGAAAGAGACGTTCTATTACAAATTCTCAAAATTTCTAATCCAAATAACATATGTATTTTGTAACATGCTTTACAACATATTGTAATCCAAATAACATATATCTGCTTTCTTTGTTTCTCTCAAAACTCACTGCAAGAGTTCTAATAATGGGATAACACCCCTTATGTCACTGCTGCACTAGATCTCAGTAATATGTGAAACAATACAGGAGGAATTCACACCCCTTATGTCACTGCTGCACTAGATCTCAGTAATAAACAATGTGAAACAATACAGGAGGAATTAACAAAATGCAGGTGAGTTCATTTATTAAAATTGTTGTGTAGAAGCTAGGTTACAAGAAAAGGCATGGAAGTGGTTGAAAGAATCAAGGGGCTTCAAGCTTCATCCAATAATGGTTGCAGATATTGATGAGCTTCTTTAGTGCCTAAGCATAGGGCTTTTTCTCAGGGGGCAGACGGGAAGCCTCCATCATGGATCTGGATTTGCTCTACAGCTGGGTACAAGCAGGAGCCTCTGAGGGACAGTACATGGGCCATAGCCTGAGCAGTAACCTAGAAGTAACCTGATGAACCAGGTTTCCTGTTCTACCCACCTACTCACTCAAAGATTGTTCAAACTCACCTCTGCAGAAAACTAAGCATCATGCTGTAAAGCTATTTGACCAAGGGTTCTTGCTACAACACCTGAAGCAAAGACCTTTGAGGGTTGACAGATATTCTCTGGAATGCTTTGAAGGTTTCCTGTTCTACCCACCTACTCACTCAAAGATTGTTCAAACTCACCTCTGCAGAAAACTAAGCATCATGCTGTAAAGCTATTTGACCAAGGGTTCTTGCTACAACACCTGAAGCAAAGACTTTGAGAGTTGACAAATATTCTCTGGAATGCTTTGGTTCCTAGAAAAAGACTGACCCTGACCTCCTGGGTTGACATTCTAAGATCTTGGATTTTATAAGTAAATATACCAGGCATTTCCTGTAAAAGTTGAAGGGTTGCAACTTTATTTTGTGAAGGACCGAATGCACTCAGGATGTGATAAGTGTGCTTGTAACAGATTGACTAATAGGTACCTTTAACTGCCAAGTCTAAATCCTCACAGGATTAAAGTGATGAAATGACTAATATCTGAATCCTTACCTGGATTATGTGAATGAGCACTGTAGGTGTCTAGAGAATTTCTCAGTCAAAGCAGAACTGCCTATGGAGTTTCCCCTAAGTTAGGGCCCCCTTTTCCTCACACAATAGGTGAGAAGAGTCCACAGAGAGAGCCCCAAGAGATTACTGGCTTTGGAGCAGAGGGTTCTGGGCAATCCCACCGTAGCTAGAAGTTGCTGCAGTGTATGCAGTCTCTTTCAGCTCGAAACTTTTAATTCTTTTCTCATTTTACTTTGTGCTTGACTGCTAGTGATGTGCAAAGAAGTAACGTGGGACAGAGCTTAACCATTTTCCATTTCCTGCTCATCTTTAAGTATTATAGATAATAACATTAAGTAATGTTTTCACATCATTATAATTTATACTGATTATAATTGATGAAGAAGTAACGTGGGACAGAGCTTAACCATTTTCCATTTCCTGCTCATCTTTGAGTATCATAGATAATAACATTAAGTAAATGTCTTCACATCATTTTAATTTATACTGATTATAATTGATAAAAATATAATTGGTGAAAAAATTGATACAGATCAGGTAAGAGAAATACCTCTTTAACTCTATATAATAGGCTGAAGTTTGCTTTCACATTACACATCCATAGGAATCTCGGCAGGCATAGAATCACAGAAGGTTTGTTTATTCTAGTGCAGAAGCCTTTGTAACAGAGCAAAATAGATCTATATATGTATTTTGTTCTGTTAATTTTTCTCAAGGAAACAGCAGGAGCCTTTGTTTACTTAGCAAATACATCATTCCCAAGGAAATTCTACCTGCAGTTGTTTGTTTAGCAATTACACAATGCCACGTTGTTTACTGTTATAAAAATAAATGTCTCTCGGTTGTAAGAAATTTACTATTTGATAATTTGGAAACCAACCTAATGATTAAGAATTTTTGGTTGCATCCTGCAAAGTCTCTATCCTGCTGGTATTTATTGTTGTCACCAGTTTATAAAAGTTAATATTTGACACAAAATATAAAGGAAGTCACACAGTGTTTGCGGAGATGGCATGGGATGGGACCATTATTCTTTAGTCCGGATATCGGAAAATATTTCCCACAGGGTGTGTTTCAAATAAAGAGGTATTTGCTGGGCACTGTCTAATCACCACTCATTTGTCAAAGCGGTTGATCAGATTAGCACTGCACAGGAGAAATAACTTTCTTGTTCCATGAATGGCTGAAAACACTTCTGACCGACACTGTGTAACTCTAAACAGAAGTTTATACTCTACGAGACAGTTGTGTTTTCAAGCACAATATAGATCAACTGGACAGTGATTTAGTGTTTATTTCACAAACTATAAAGCAGTCTTAAATTATATTTGCATTTCTCAATATTTTGAAAATGATATGCAAGATAAATTTACCTAGGCAATCTGCAGATCTTAAGATGTCAGCTGACAGGCCAGAAATTACTGTACATGAACAGGACTGACTTATCAAGCTTGTACTCCTGCAAGTAGCCCAAATTTGATTGGTCCCATCATCTTAACAGGGTTACTTATAATAATAAAAACTGCCAAGACCAGCCCTGATCACTATAATATTGACAGGTGAAAAAAACCCATCTAAAAAAATAGATTGTGGTGTCCCTGTCCTGCTCATACTCAATATCTGTAATTTATATAAATATTTTGCATACGGTATTATAAATTAGTTACTGAAAATCCCTGCCATATGAATATTCCCTCCTGGTTTCTTTTGTAAAAGAAGTTGCAAGAAATGTTCAAAAGTCTGGTGTTAGCCCCTGGTAGGTGACAAAATATTGAAAAAGATTGACCAGTGGTCTGATCTAGCTACTGGAAAATACAGTGGTTTAGATTTCATAAGAACCATAACATTCATAATGAATTCTAATACAAAATGCAACAGGAATAAAATGCTTTTTAAAGGCATATGGGACACTGAAAATCTGACATTTTAAGACACGAATTAGAGGTTTTTTTGGATTTGATCTTCAAGGCTACTTTCCATATGTAGTTATATACAGAAGTTTGAGGCAATATTAAATTGGTCCAGTTAATAGATAGACATTTAAAATGAAAATATATAAAGAAATTTTGTCAGCCACCTCTTATATGAATCAATTAGTACGGATGTTTAAAATATATTACTAGGTCTAAACGGAGTATTTTTTCTTTTCCCAATAAAAAAGAAAATTTCTTACCTATTTGATGGATACAGCAAACTGCTAAGAGGAAAGCCCATTCTGGTAGCAATATCCCCCTGCCAAACCCCATCTTGAGTGGAGTTTGGCACAAGGATGTTGGGTCTAAACTTGATCAGGACTGCAGTTCACCTGTGCTTTGTAGCTCTTATATAGTAGGTGACTTTGGCTTCAGTCCCAGATTGATTCAGAGAGTGTAGAAAGGTGAGGTTTGGGGGATTTTAGCTATTGAACAGGTAAACAGAGGATGCTCTTCCTTCCTCAGAACTGGCCACTATTTGCATTTTGGGAGGAGTAAATACATTTACGTATGTACATTTTAAGATTATATCTAGTAAAGAAATGATTGCAAATAAAATACAACTCCTCCTCCACAAATAACAGGTCCTGGAACAAATTTAATTTGGTATTGCTTTACAGTTATGCAGATGGATGGCAAGTAAGTGTTCCAAGTTTTTCAGTACTACAATTGATGCCAGGCAACTCCTTGGCACAAAAAAACAAAAAAAAAAAAAAAAAAACCCAA